ATACATGAACAAATGTACTTGTGGATTCTTATTATTTTATTAATTTTCCAGGGAGGACTCTGGTTATTGTCTAGATGATATTCAACTTGCAAACCCACAGCGCAAATTAGAAGTAGTCCTTGCACATGCAAAGATTGCATCATGGGCAGTAGCTGCATTGCGCAGTAGCCTTCTATCTGCTGAACCAGCCCCAGGCCATAGCTCTGGATGTGGCAATCTTGGAAGTGGAGGAATGGGGAGCCGTGCAAAAACAGCAGGTCCTCGTTCTCGCAGTGGCAAAGGTTCACTTAATCAGGGGACCTACAGTTGGCTCCGACGGTTGCCATGGGCCCGCTTCCTTTTAGCTCTCTTGGGCCTCCTAACTGGAAGTCATCGTGGTGGAGAATTGTCTCTGCTCATTGGATCTGGACTTTTAGCACTGTTGCAGACTTTGGCCCGTCAACTAGGTATATACCCGTTTGTAGCATCAGTTTATTTTAGTAGTTCATTTGTTCCTGTTATAGCTCACCATCTAAAAAATTATGAAAACCTGTTTCTCTCACTCCAACATTGCATTGGACCATTGTGTTGGCTTTGCCCTACTGGACTACCATTCAGGTATAAAAGTTCCTGGAATTCACACTCTTTTTGCTCATATAAAATGACCAATCACACATCATTCCACAGAATCTGTAAAAGAATACACATTGACACAGTTTTAGCTGTGGCCGCTGTACATCACATAACACATGCCAATCACAAACCATGTCTGTGATGCAAAATGTCTACTCCACCAGTGTCTCTTGTGGTCTTTTAGAAGCCAAACTGCACATGCGCTTGTTTGCTGAAACTGTATCTGTTTGTCAAAAGGTGCATCAGCACACATGCTCATATGATGGGGATGATGATGATGGTGATGTAGTATTGCAGTCCTATTAACAGTTCAGACATCACTTGAAAAACTGGTTGAATATAGCACAAATGCTTTGACAAACATACTTATTTTCAATTTTTTGAAAATTCAAAACTTTTATTGAAAGTAGCTTTTTTCAATCCAAAAGTATCCAAAAGTATCTTTACAATAATTTTAAAGAAAAATTAATATCTATCCAGATGGGGATTCAAAACGCGAGTGCTATGGATGAAAAGCCAAGAGGCTATTCCCAACTCTGTTTAATGGGAACTACTACTTAAAAAGGTTTAAATGAAATGATTAAAAGATGTGATATTGAGGAAGAGATTGCATTAAGAAAGAAATATCTAACTTCAATATTGAAGTTTTAGAACAGATTCAAAAATAATTGAACTTTTTATTTTTTTGAAATTCCAGGGTCTACAATGTAAATCACACCTCTGTTCAAATTACTTATAAATAACTGGAATGCTATAAATAAAATTAAAAAAATCATCCAATGACAAAACAAATGACTTAATTAAACTTTAAAAATGTAATAAAATGTATTTGCCAATACATCAACCCAACTTTACAATTTATTTTGCCTTTTCTAATTTACTTATTTTTTCTAAATGAATACAACATTTTGAAGCTCCAAAAGAAAAGTTACGGAAAAGTGAGGTGTGGTTAAATTATTCATCTAAACTGTTTAATTTTGTGAAATAATTATAATGAAATGATTGTGTAGGATGTGCGCACAATAAAATTAATGTTTATTATTTATTTATAACATATATGGGAAATTCTCTTAAGAATTTCAGAACAATTAGATAAAATTTGACAAAAGGTATCCCTAATACAACTTTAAGTAGTTGGCCATCAATAGTGTAGATATTATTGAACAGTTTCCTTGTGAAACTAACAACGTTGCATTTGTCAACATTCAGTCACATGTCATTGTTCGTGCACTGGTCCCACAGAATGAAAGGACAAGTAGCTTATCAGCACCCTCCAAGATTTGAATCCTCTAATTAATTTTGGCATCGCCAGCAAACAGCGTTACCTTACTGTTAGTTATAGCAGTTGACAAGTTGTTTATGAACACAATGAACAGTAAGGACCCTAAATGTAATCCCTGGGGAACAGTAGATGAATGAAATCAAAAACGAGGTATGCAGCATGGATAATATAGGATCACTAATACCAAGTTTAGCCAATTTCTGTTAGAGAATTTTGTAATTTACGCAAGTGTAAAGTTAATGCGTGGGATTTTCTTTTTTTGTAAGTGGTATTACTGTATTACCGTAATGTTTTTGTGCAGAAGGCTGCTGGCCTGATGTTTTGGGGCCACCCCCAGAAGACTGTGATCCTGAGACTTATGCTGTTTATGAAGACTCCTTGCAGCGTCACTCTGCCCCTGCTGTGGCATATACAGGTCCTGAACTTGCTGCTCTCATGAAGATTGGCACTCGCGTTGTACGAGGAGTGGACTGGAAGTGGGGTGACCAGGTTATTATTTGTTTATTCCTGTGAAATATTTACCTTATATTTTCTACTGTATTATTGTATACTACTGTATTAACACCAATTGTGCTAATTGCATGCAATATGTTATGTATGCACCAATGAGCACATTGTATCTCAAAATTTTTTTCACTTTTTCTATTCAATTTTTCTTATTACATTTCTTTACTTCCTTATCGTAAGTTTTTATTCAACAGACATGTTGATGTGCACGTGGTTAAAACAACAAGATAGTAAAGAAAGTTGAATGTAACATTAATATAATTAATATTTGATGCATTCTGCAACTCTGTTCAGTATAATTTCATTCACGGAGTAATCTTATACATTAGAACTCATGCATTAGAAATTTTCAGATAAATCTCCTTGTCGCTTCACGACTCATGAATTAATAAAAAATGTCCAATGCACTTGTGAAGTGCTCATTAGATCTTATTATAAATTGTAATCAGTGTATTTACTATTTGAAACTAAAACAAAAAACTGTAGAATAGTTTTGTGATTTTTTGTATTTTTGTGTGTAGGATGGCCCTCCTCCAGGAGAAGGAAGAGTTATTGGAGAACTTGGGGAAGATGGTTGGGTCCGTGTTCAGTGGGACAATGGATCAACAAATTCCTACCGGATGGGCAAGGAGGGAAAATATGATTTGAAACTTGCTGAACCTCCCACTCCTGCTGACTCAGACTCTGATTCTGACTCGGCTGAAGAGCAAGCCAAGATCCGTGAGTTTTGTATTTTGTTATTTAGCTGGGATTTCAAGCCAATGTTAAATGTAGATATTTTGTACTTAAATTCCTTCACTGTTGATGCTTTAAAGATGGGGGGAAAATAAATAAATAAATGCAATACATTAATCTAAATGTTATTTATATGTTTTATCTACAACTTAAATAAGTTTACATGCAAATGGTAGGACTTGAGTTCTGGTAATGTTAAAATTTTCATGTAACTTGAATTTAATATTTTATTTAGCAATACATAAAGCATGCACTGCAAATTATTTTATGCAAAAGTAGGTTCTTTTGGAAAAATGTAAAACAGAATACCACTTCCAAAATGGAAAAAATGAAGTATTCATTAATAAAATTTCCGTAAAATAAGTACATATGTTTTGAAATATATTTCCTATGGGTGGGGCAACATGGAGTAGAAAATGAACTTCCATTTTATACTAGAGATAGAATTTGTTTCTTTTCCTGATGTGATCCTTTTCTTTGTGATAAATAAACGATATGTTCCTTCAGCTAATCTCTTTCAGAAAGAACTTTTGTTTGTTTTTTTAATTAATTTGTATTGTTATTTCTCTGTTGGTGAAATTTGCACTTTGGATATTTAAAACAAGAACAAAGATCACTGTCTGTAAGATATTTTGAAAAAACTACTACATCCCTTGTTTCTCACCTTTTACCTTCTTAAATCTGCAGTCTTTCAGATTTTTGTGAATATCTCTAAAACTGAGGAAATGGATTGCAGTTTCATAGAATTTCTTGCTAAAAGTATTTTTATTTAATCTGATAGTGTAATTAGTCTTTTAGTTACTCAAAATCTGATTTGAAAATGAGTTTGTCAGGAAGAGGCAAAGAGCTTGATGGAACACTGTAGAAAGGCCCAAGTGCTGACAGTGACTCATGACTACTCCAAGGGGGGTGGGAAGTTATCATGGGGTAGGGAGGAAAATAAGTGTGCAGTTGAGTGACCTTCAGGACGGTTAGGCACATGACCCTATGATAAGTTCCCAGTGAGAAGAACCGAGAAGGTAGATGTTTAATGGTTCTCTTCTGAAGTATTTTCACCTGCTAGTGAATGATGCCAACCACTCCCTAACCCAACACAGCTGGCAGGCAAATATCTGTGCTTGTGAAAAGTGAGCTACTGGTGACAGTAGAACCTCTTAAATGAACCTCTGAGTTGAGAGGTCCTGAAATAAATCAAATTAATTTCTTTTCGTGTTTCATAGTTGATTTTGATAAATGAATGCCCTGGCACTCTAGGTTTCTTCACCGAATATGATTTTAAAAGTACATTCTTTAATGTACATAAAATGTAGTTAAGGTATCAAAACTTGGAGCTTCTCTTTTAGATTAAAGAAAGATCAAACTAGCTGGAAATAATTTGAAGAGAAAATGTCTATTGGAATTGAATTTGGAATAGCTTCTTTATTGCACTCAACAGTTTGCCAAAGAAATGGTAGGTGTCGAGTATGCCGTACTTGCTCATGTAAGAAATAAGATATCTGAACCAATATTTGCTTGTGGGAATTTAGCTAACTTTAGCTTGTGTCAGATTAGAGACCTTTCTCTTTATATTTACTAAATTAAGTATTTTTCGACTTCAGGGTGTCACTGATGTGAGAACAGTCTCAAATTCTTTATACACTTTCAGAAACCTTTTCTTTGGGGATTATTGTAATGTATATTATGAATTATTTTGAAACATCTGATGTGTTTAGGTAAGGTAGTATTACTAGGTCGTAGTTTTGTTAAGATTGTATTTACAGTCCCTCCTTTTTCTTTTCTTTCCAAACAGGAAAAAAAAAAAAAATCAATGGAACAAAAGTATTCAAACATGTATACTTTTCTGTTCTAGGCCGAGTTGGCACTTCTCAAGGACGTGGAGTTTTGTTTTCTGGCAAGGATGCTCATCCAACACAATTATTGAAACGAGCAACTTTGACTCTGCTGCGAACATTAACGTTGTGCTGTGGATTAGAAGCAGATCGAATGCAACCATCAGCTTTGCGAATTCTCTCATCTCTCCTTAGAGAACTTGTCTATGTAAGTCATTTTTTATTTGTATGTTTCTCTTATTATTCCTTTAACTTTAAACATTGAAATTAATAAGCTTCATTTATTATTTATCACGGGAGAATAGTTAATTTATTTCCTCATTTCTTTGAATCATGGATAAGGATACTAATGTAGAAATTGGAAACAATTATAATTAATCAAAAATTTCCCTATATACTTGAATATAACCTGCATATTAAATCAAAAATCACTAGCTGAAGATTGGGATGTGGGTAATACTCGCGTCAAGGTTGGTACTGCGAACTTGAAGCATGTTGCACATGGTCACATGGCAGTGTGGGTTAATAGAAAGTGTTTGTACAGACGCAGTAGATGTTTTCCAGTTGTTCTCACAGATCTTTCCCTGCAAAAGAAAAACTATGTGTAATATACTTAGGTTTTTATAACCTGGCATGTAACATAAAGCAGCTGTTGTCAACCATTTGGGAACTTGAACAACATCATAAAGAAGTCACTGTGGTGACGTTTAAGCTCCTGATTGGGTGAAACCATCAACAGAAGTGCCATTTTATAAAATCAGAAATTGGTAACCGCAAAGCAGGAAGAAAGAATGGTGTAGATGTAGATGAAAGTTGTATTCGTTAGTGGCATAAAATCCAAACACCACTTGGACTAACCAGTGTCTATCAGCGGGCCTTTCAAAGACCAAAATTACTGCAATAAAAGTGAAAAAATGAAGAAAAAAAAATGATCTTTCGAGATTCCTTTCTGTAAAATTTGGATGCGGGTAATAATGAGGGTGGAGTATACTTGAATATATATGGTAATATCTTTCATATTGAACTAACATCGCTTGATATTTTCACATCAATTGGAAAATTAAATACTAAAATGAGCCCTGGGCCAGATGAAATGCCCTCAATTTTTGAAAAATTGTCAAAATAATTTTACTCCAATACTAGATCATCTATTTCCAAAATAAATTTTGGAACGTTATTTTCTGTTTGGAAAAGGAGTTTCATATTTCCTATTCTTAAATCTGATGATCATTCAGATATAATGAATTACAGACCTATCTTGAATACCAAAATTATTTGAATCTATCATAACATCCGAAATCGCAGTTTTCGTAAAAAGTTTTCTTATGGATGAACAGCTTATCTTTAGATGCCAACATTCGACATTGACAAAAGTATTAATGTTCCAACATTACACTTCATAAAAATTAGAATCAAATTCACAGGTTGATACAATTTATATATATGTTACATGAAACTTAGTGTTTTTGTAGCTGTTGTAGTTGCTTTTTTCTTTCCACTGGAATTTCAATTGTAATCTAAGTTGCTTTTGAAATTTTTTGCACGATAAGTTTAATTTTCTAAATAAATGATTATAAAAACTTAAAACATGGTTTTAAAGAAAACCTAAAAAAAATAGAGTCTAAAATCCAATGCTTACTTATATTTTGTTAGTATGAGAATTTATATACATTTTACCATATTATTATCATTGTATTACTATGTATTTTACTTATAATCATGAGAAGCATTACTTATAATAATGAACAGAGAAGAACCGGCTCTCATAAGGAATAGAGTGCAGTAGAAGAGAGCAGGAGCAAGTCTTGCAGAAGAAATGTATTGGAGTTGCCATGATCAGACAAATATAGCAACAAAGTTCTGATCCAGAGGTCTTTCAACCAATCTTTCCACCAATTAAACCATGGATCATTGAAGGGCAAGAAAGTTGGCCCCAGCATCAATCAAAGCCACGAATCTAGCCAAGCCAGAAGTCTAGACACAAAGTTGGAATATATGGTGATAGCTATCGTCATCGTCTAGCAATGTTAATTGAAGACAGAGCTCAGGGCTCCAGTTTTGATTGGTGGAATCTGGTGCCAAATCTGAAGAAGTGGTTAAAGGTATCAAGGAGAACTTCATAGGGCTGACAACAAAGGATTTTGTCAAAGGACATGCTAGTGATGTTTTCTAAATGAAACAAAACATCACATCAACTCTGAAGAAAACCTTGACAGGACACATGAACACTAATGTAATAGTGGTAAATATTTCTCATAGGTGTGATTTCACCAACTGGTCTATTGTTAATAAAGAGGTGAAAAATGTAAACAACTTGTACTATAGAATTTTGTTGTGAATTGAGGAGTATATGAGCAATTGTGAGCTAATACTGCTTACCGTTATGACCAACATTTTAATCTTAATTACCCAAAATCTTTGATAGTCAAGATCCACAATAATATTGATGCAATTGTTTCTCTAATTAAAGAAGTGCTTAATTTGGAGTTAGACACAGAGGACTTTGCGCATGTGACTTTTTATATCATGAGTAAAGCTCTCTCTCTTGCAATAATAAACAATTAGAGAAAATAATTCTTTCATATCTATCGCATGAATAAGTTTGATGTTTGATTATAGCTTGGAACTCGTCGCTGCGACAGCTCAGGAACTCAGGCTCAAGCCCTGGCCCATGCATTGCATGCTGAATGGGCTTCTCTGGGGTTCATTCGTGCAGCATCTGCATCACCAGCTATGTGCCGAGCCCTCAGTTCTCCTCCTTGGGTTGATATGCTCATGGCTCTTGCAGCAGGCCAGGACAACACTCTTATTGTGTCATTACATAAGCAAGTAAGTACTGGAATTGCGTGAGTAAATCTCTTACCCCTCACTTCCTCTCTCTCTCTCTCTTTTTATCTTTCTTTCTCTTTTTTATCTTTCTTTTCTCGTTCACTTCTGTCTCTTTCTCTCTCTTCTCTCTCTTGTTTTGTGTCAATTTCTTATAAGGAAAAGTGAATTTCTCAGCTGAAACTGCTGGGAAAATGCCTACTATGCAAATCAGTTTGTGAAAATTATTGATAATCCTAATGGAGCATTAAAAAAGTCACTATTTCTGAGTTTGAAGGCCGGAATGCAAACTGCATACTCAGGTTCACCTTTTCACAAACCTGCTCATATTGAGTAAGCAGCTTCATTTCTGGGCTTAATACTGCTACCGAAAATATGCTTCTTGTTTAATACTGACTTACAATATTGAATACTTTACAGAATCTGCATATATTATACCAAGAAATTAATTATAAATTTTTAGTAAAGATGGTACTTTTTATTTCTTCTCAGTGATTGTTTTAGTCATCACTCTACAAAATGATCCACTTATAAAATAAAGAACATTCCTGCTAATAAGTTGGAGATGTAATAACACGAGTGCTGTAGATTTTTTATATTTGTAAATTGTTAATGTTGTTAATAGTTTGTCTATGTTCCTAAGTATGTTAGTTATACCAAAATTCTGTAAGTTTTTGCGTACCACAACCTTTGAGAATATATTGTGTTATGTTATTTATTATTTACTAATTCAGTGAAATGTAGTTTTCATTTAATTAAAATCAGGAAATCAGAGTATATTCAGTAAGGTCCTCACACTTTATGGATATGTGTGTTCTGTGTAGGTTCTTTCGTTACGTCTACTCCAGGCCGTCTTACCGGCTTGGGATGTAGCACCTGCAGAGCGCTTGGCGCTTCTGGAACGTCTCTTCCAATTGCTTGGCAACATGGTGCTCCTGTGCCCTGGAGACCCTCCGCCACCTGCACCTCCTCCTCCTGCAGGGCCCAGAGGTGCTTTTACTGCATTCTGTTTTACATTTTTTTCTATCCACGTTGAAGGGAGGCCTGCTACACCAAAACATATAATTATTGGGATGCTGATTAGATGAAACATTGATTACCAATCGAATAAATAATTCAGTCCAGTCAATAATTAAAATTTAACTGAACAAATTTGCATTTATTAGATTAAGACACCTGCTTGCCATTGCCCAGAGAGCAAATCTAAAGTTAATATAACATGCCTTATGTGACCTGTGATTGTGACACTTCTATTTTTCCTTTTCTCCAAGTC